ACATATAAATGTGCTCAAGGAGAAGACGTAAAATCTTCGGAAAATTTATACTTCCTTGATTTTGGAGTGCAGTTTATCAATAAATATCACATATCATACCTCAAACAATGCGTAATGTTGTAAGCTTCATCTCCTATCACCAAAACCACACATTCAAGAAAGCACCTGTTGATAAAAGCATAAAATAAGCGAGCGTATATTTAATGGAGTGAATTCAGCTATTTTTGTTGTTCAAATGTTTATTCCCGAAGTCAAATGAGAATGTGACGCCACTCCGGATGACGTCAAATCAGAGATTACCGAGAAACGCCATGACGTTTCTTTAAGATCCTGTAGAAACAATGACAACGGTCTGTTAGGCTACGAGTTCCTTTACTTTCATTGGCTGTTTGTTGCGATATGATGTAATTTGAGAGAGGAACAACATCGGACACTGTAGGAAATTACCGAAGCATTCCATTATCTTTATGCTCTGAAAATTAGAAATAAATGTCCCAGGAAAAGCATCAATAATTGATATCATGCAACCATTCAAACTAATGCATGAAGAAGAGATTATGTCAATGTTTGAGAGATGGAAAGATAAAGGTCAGTACGAGCGTCATATTTTTGGGTGGTCATTTTTTTGATGTACCAATTTGAGACCTTATCTGTTGCAAGACTTATGCCTGGCACAACCGTCACCATGTTTTACTCGAGTCTCTAGCTTACAGCTAGATGTAACTTCATTGATTTCGTATGTACTCGTATTTCGTATGTAAAAATTGCTACACGCACCTCGAACACGCGGTACAAACTCACCGGGGCGTATTGGAACCAAAACGCCCCGCAAAACCGTTAATTTGAATTTCAAATCTACCCTGTCTTTGGAAAATCAATGATTGTGAGTCTCACACTACACTGTTTTTCTTCAAACTTGTTCCATTAAAACCTTCCAAGAAATACCTTTCAGTTAAGACATTGCTATTGTTTACATAGTCCCTCGTTCTAGCGACGTTTTGGTCCCCAGATGTGAGAAGTTACAAATCCTCAGAGATTTCAACCACAATCCTTGATATCTCGCCAGTTCTTCTATCACTCTCCCCCATATTCTACGCAAGGACTCCCATTACAACCCTCCATCGCTGCATCAACATATTTATTACATGAAACGCAGCAATTTTGAAAAGTTCTATGCAACTGTTCGAAATTGACCAAAACGCCCCGTTGTCTTCCAAAATGCCCCGCAGATTCTATGACAAAAGTATTGTTTCATTCTGAAACATTTTGCCCATCAGTATGTGCGTTTGTATGTTTGCCATAGTCGATTCTAAACACCAATCAATGTGTGTTTAAGGTTTAGCCTGTCTAGTCCATTAATACCACGTCTTCACGTTTAGAATACATACGATTCTATACCAATTGTCAGGTTACGTTCAGATAACGTTCAAGAAAAGCAATATGCTTGTGGCCGCAGTTTATTGCAACGTGCTGAATTTGCTGTAACATACACACAATACCTAGATGAAATACAATGTTAACTTGATAAATGGAGAATATAAGTGAAAACTTATTAGACCTTGATGAAGTTTTTTCTGGTTGAGTCGATTGATTCTCAGAGTTATTAACACCATTAAAATCTCAAAATTTTAAGAACCTCCTAATGTGAGGCCTAAAAGGTATGCAACAACTTTTCAACCTATCGACTTTCTGACAGTGATGATGTTCCTTCAAAAATAATTTCTTTTTGATGGAGTTTATCGTGCAGCACCAACAGCTAGAATGATAAGTATAAACCTAAAAGCCTCATTTACCAAACAACTATTCACCATACAGCTAGTATCAGTGAAAATCGCGCTTGATATCAACGACACATAGATGAACTACACCCCAGAAAAAACCATAGAAATTATTTATAGTCTAAATTCGTAATCTCAACTTAATAAAAATTACAATTATAGCATGCCATGTTAAATTCATGCATTTTCAACAGTATGAATTATAAATTATCGGCCAAGAGCAGATCAGTTAATGTAATGATGTACATGTAACCAGAGACATACAAAACAAAACATGTTCTTTATATTTCTGATGTAACTGAAAAATGATATACTTTTGTGATCACTAGTACTCTCACAGAGAGACTCAACCATTGCAGCATATTTATTTACTTATATACCTGCATTTAAACAGAGTGGTTTTAAACATATTTTACATTTTTCATCACACAATTAAATGAAGATATATGCAGTTACTACTTGAAATGATAAAACGCTTTTTGTGTTTTAAAAAGCTTGTCCTATCAAGAATGTTTTTATATTTTACATCCTTCTGTACAGTCTAGCGTATTCTCTCCGAATTATCTGTTTATTGTGCATACGTGCGTCGTGTAATGCGTATCATATCATCATCTTCAACTTTACACTCGGGATGATATACAATATTATAGCACATAGAACATTTTGCCACGACTATGTTCAATGCAATAATTTAATTTTACTATATGACATCCAAGGAAAAAATATTTATACCGATACACTCTTATACACTGGTGATCCACTCGATTACGCTGGTTACCAAAACGAACCGTTTTGGTAACAAAATGTCAGAACGTCGAAGGCACGATTTTTCTTTTTTCCTTATTTCACGCGTTGTAGGCGGAATACCCACGACGTTTTTTCTCACAACGTGCATCAGTATCAAATATGTTTTAGAAAATGTACATGTTTGCTAAAAAATAGCTCAGAGGACAACAGAATCGTCGATTTACTTCCTCACTTAAGATCTCACAGTTAAGATCTGCACTTTTAACCCAAACCGTTTATGTAACTTAAGTGAGGAAGTAAATCGACGATTCTGTTGTCTTCTGAACTATTTGTTCGCAAACATGTACAATTTCTTAAACATATGGTACTGATACACGTTTGTGTTAAAAAATGTCGTGGGAATTCTGCCTACAACGTGTAAAATAAGGAAACGAGAAAAATCGTACCTTCAAGATATTCCGACATTTTTTCGTTTTGGTAACCACCGTAATCGAGTGGATCACCAGTGTTATACATCCGCTCCTTCACTGAAAATAGTCGTCTTGATACATTTTGAATCACTATGCAACCAAAATATAGTAATTGATCATCTACTTTATGCAAGTCATTATAACGGAGCTAACCCATGAAAATAGGGGCACTCTGACTTGAAATGCCAGGTAGGGATTTGGGGTATTAAAGCAATCATTAGTTGGACCATTTGATGCCTTTCATTTACATTGTGACGTGGAAAAGGAATGGTCCAAATGCCACTGGGTGCTTCAAGTCCGTGCTTGAGAGCCAACTTAACCAAATGCAAAATGCAAAAAAACCTTTTCGCATAATACTATAGTTAGAAGAAAAATATTGGTCAGATTTGTTTACAAATTATCAGCAGCTTAGAACCAGTCATATTTTAGTATCTAGATAAGGTGTATAGATCCAACGGGGCGTTTTGGAAGAGAACGAGGCGTTTTGATCAATTTCGAACAGATGCGTAGGACCTTTGGAAATTGCTGCGTTCAATGTAATAAATATGTTGATGCAGAGATGGAGGGTTGTAATGGGAGTCCTTGTGCAAAATATGGGGGAGAATAATTAAAGAACTGGCGATATCTCGAGGCTTTTGGTTGAAATCTCTGAGGGTTTGCATCTTCTCACATCTGGGGACCAAAATGCTGCTAAAACGAGTGACTCTGTACACAAAAGCAATGTCTCGAGTGAAAGGTATTTCTGTGAAGGTTTTAATGTAACAAGTTTGAAGGAAAACGTTGTACTGTGAGACGCACAATCATTGATTTTCCAAAGAAAGGGTAGATTTGAAATTCAAATTAATGGTTTTGCGGGGCGTTTTGGTTTCGATACGCCCTGGTGAGTTAGGACCATGTGCTAGAAATCATTTTTAATAAATTTTATAAATATTTTTAAGAATATTAATTATATTTAGGATGAAGCGTTGCTTGTCTGGATTTAGATATTTCAAAATTTCTTTTCGGAGTTCGACACATGGTGAAATTTACTCCCTGTAGCTAAAAATGGCTTCCGGTTCCAGACGTGAATAAATGGAGGAAACTTTGAAATTATTCTCGCTTAAATAGATTCAGACGGAGATGTGTGCTGATGTTTCTTAAATCTATACATAAAGGTATATTTCATATTATTATGCCGTACTGTGCGTGTGACACAATGATTTACAATATTTATAATACCAAGCAGCTCAATCTTTCTACTCAAAGCCGGAATATAGAGAAAGCTTTGGACCGAAGTAAACCATGTTATTAAGTGTTTTCAAGTTTGGCAAGGATCCTGCCATGACCGTGGTAGTGTTATCGTGATAACCTGATATAACCGTGACAATGCTATATTATATTGCATGGCCTGTCATGACTGTGGTAATGTTAAAGGCTGATATGACCGTAACAATGCTATGCTATATTGCAAGGCCTGATATGACCGTGGTAATTTCAAAGCCTGATATGACCTTGACAATGGTTGCAAAGCCTGTCATGACCGTGGTAATGTTAAATGTTAAATTATATGACCGTGACATCTACATGTATTCTTTGAGCTTACTACCAACAGATCTGTGCTGTGTGTACATGTAAACATATAGTTCAACAAGTTAAACCTAGTCTGGGCCTTATTTCTTATCTGACATATCTTGTGACCCGCCCTAGGTTTAACTTCCGTGCCTATTCGGCCCTTGATGCAAAATATTTAATAGTGGCCTATGGTAGCGCATAGAATTCTATGCGCGTTTAATTTATAACTGATAGTGAGAATTTGCAACAAATAAAACTATGGCACGGAAGATAAACCCAATCACATTCAGATTAATAAATGAAAGCCGTGGTATTGGGTTTAACTTGTTGAACTAGGCCTAGTAAACATACAGCATACCCTAGGGCCCTATATATTTTTCAATCCCAATATTTCCTAATTCTAGACATGATAAATAACTTGTACATTCACGACACTTACACAATGTATACTGACCTTTTTGGTAGTTTCTCCAGCCATTATCACAACTTTTGTTTTACGTTATCTCTTTGAACAAAGCTTGTACTTTATCGAGTAAATAAATAGACGTGACTTTGCCTCTTGAAACCTTGAAAAGAACGGATATTATCTCTCGTTGGAAGAAAAGGGGGCGTGTCTACTTCCTGCAACAATTGGGGATAATCTACTCGTTGAATTTCGAGAACTTTTTGTTGTGACCTACTTTTCAGATGCCATATCTCGAAAACGGTAAGAGTCATCTGAGACTAACATAAATGCCTTTAGTTGTTCCTAAAATTCGGAGCAAATATTGAAGGATGACCGAGAAAATTGAAAAAATGACTAGCTTTCTAAAAAAACTATGTAGTAAATCCCGGGGGTAGGGCGCTCTCATAGAATGCGTGACCATTGCACCACCTAACCCCGGGGAGTCCACAAAGGATCAGTCCCAGTTGACGTTTCGTCTCCCAAAGCCATCAAATGGGAATGAGCTAACAAATATTTGATGAAAAGAGATGACATAGAATCATTATTCAGTACTATGATGCAAAGTCAGCACTATCAATGGTATACTCTACCGTTAAGATATAATACTAGAAGTTCACAAACATTTTGCCATTTTGTTTCACAACTGTGTCATCTCGCTAAATCTCGTTTGCAATCGGTCAGTGTAAAATCGTATCCTAAAGCCCAAATCCCGGGAAAGTATTCGGTTTATGATGGCGCATGCGCATTAAACCCAGTAATCTGATTTGTTTAAGTTATCATGACGCATGCGCGATCAATAACTTTGTAGGAACATTAATTTGACATAGATGTCACTTACGTTCATATTTCACAGTGGGTCCTACCCATGATGCACCATATATTGCGGTAATTTTTTTGTTTAGTGTCAAAACAAAAACTATACACCCAAAACAAATGTAATGATATAATGTCAACCTGCCCTGGATTCGTGGACGTTTGTTGTACAAACTTAAACCGAACCAATGGCAGAAAAGCACGTTGAATCATGGGAATAAAGTACTTGAATTCCCTTAATGAAAAACCGAACCTCGTGCAGATTAACCCGACTCGCTGTTTACACCAACAATCAATCAGATGGTATTATTACACCAAAAGTAGTGCGAAAAAGTTTTCATGACATTTAAAGACACTGTTCCTCTTTCACGTGCATTATCTCATGGAAATGGGCATACCAGTGCAAAGATCTTTGTTCCGTGATAAAGGAAAGCTATCAAACATTGTCTGAAGAGCATTCTAATTCTACTTTTAACATGACGACCTTGACAACTTATAGCCATTTGGGCGATAATAGGTGATTCTAAAGTGAAAATGAGTGCTTTTTTTCGTAGTTTTACTTTGACCAAGGCTTGCAAATAATTGAAGTGATAAACCTTCCACTGGCGGATTAGGGGGGGGCTGGAAAATTTTTGGGCCAAAAAAGGCCTAAAGGTCCCAAAAAGTGGGCCTTTTTGGTCATAACTGGGCCCTGTAAGACCTTATTTGTTAATTTCAGGCCAAATTTTGAAGAAAATGGGCCTCAAAATTTTAAAATTTGGGCCCACTTTTTGGTTTTAGGGACTCAAAATTTTTTTCCGCGCAAGGGCAGACGTTTTTTTCTCTGACCTGAAATTTGGGCACCCCGCCTTGTTGGTTCTCAGATCCGCCCCTGCCTTCCCCCAATTTTTGATATTTTTTTTGTCTAGAAGTGTTCTAGATGATATTAAAGTTTAAGAAAATATGTATGTCTCGAAATATTTTGAAAATTAGTGCCATTATGGCGGGTCTGGGTGTTTTTTGCTCTCATTTTTTACCCATTTCCACGGTTGCAATGGCAACTCATACCTGCCAACCTACCGTATTTTTACCGGCATCTACCATAAAATATTCGTTTTTCAGTAAAATAATAATATAAATACCGTAAAAAATTACTGTTTTTTCCTGTAAAACAACCAAAAAATCTACTGTAATTTTACCAAAATCTACCGTAAAATATTTTATTATAATTCGATTTTTTCTATAAGAACGGCCGTAAAATATACCGTAAATATTTGAAAATCTACCATATTTCTGCTGGAATTAACAGTATTCTTGTTCAAACTACCATAAAATTTACCGCAATTATATCATTAAATTCTGAGAAATTGAATTCTTCTTGTATTGCCCTTGTAAAATTCCATTACCAACCCGAAAATAATTAAATAGGTGCCGGCAGGTCTTTGATGGTGGTTATTTTCGTACTTAGTAAGTAACTAAGTATTAGCTGGCGTGTAATCCAGGCCTGTCAACTGTCCCGCAATTTGCGTATTTGTCACGCATTTGCTGAAGAATTTGAAGTCACGCCAGTTTTTTTTGCGTGACAGAAAATGTCACGCAAATACGCATTTTAGCTGGTAATTGTCACGCAAAAATATTTCTGTAGAAAATTTTTCGAAATATGTTTACGATACGGTAAAAATACGAACGTCGGAAAAAAAAAGAACGCAATTTGTTCGCGAATCCCGTATATGTCACGCATGTTCATTGTAAATTTTCGCATTCAACAACATACATTTCAGTGCATTCTGTGTAATACTTGAAAGGCATTGCTAATGATTTACAAAATGAAATAATCTCGGGGATTTTGCATCTAAATTTTTTGCATGAGATCTCTGAAGTTGATGACCCAATTTTAGGTCATTTTGGCCAGTTTTTAGAGACTCAGCCCTCACCTATTTCCCCAAATATGACTAGATTTTGTAGAAAATGTGTTAAAAGTTTGAAAATGCAGCTGTTTTGAGCATGAAATAACTCAATTGTTCGAAAAAAATGCTGAATGAGCAAAAATTATCATAGTAAAATTTTCCCATTTTTGGATATTAAGGTGTTACTACGGTAAATACCACTTCCGGGTAGTGTTTTTTAATTCTTTAAAAACGAAGCCATGAAACTTCAATGGTGTGTATAGTAGGTTTAAGTATATATGCATTGTGGCCATTTGAGGTAGGTTTGTAAAGCTGAGGCCAATTATTTTCTAAATGTGCCATTTTTAGAAAAAATCGCAAGAATATAGTCCCGTAAACTGGAACTACTTTATTCGTTCATTTTCATCGGTGAAGCAGGGATTTTACCTAAAAATGAGTCCCTCCCAAGTAAAAAAGAAATCTAATATACCACTAATACATCACCAATAGATCACCAATACACCATGAAAAGTGATTTATTCAAGTGGTTTCTAACTTATGTATTAAAACTGGCAATACTCAACTAATAAACCACTGTAAGGGTTTTTAGGTGGAGTGGTTTGTTAGTTGTGTATTAACTCAATTTTTTCTGGAATGGTCTATTAGTAGTGTATTAAACTGATCCTTGATTAAGAATGAGAAACCCCTTTTAAATGGCGGAAATAGTTAAAATGTGAGGGAATTAATTCTCCAATGAAATGTAGCATTACAACCAGAGGGGTGACTGGACTTTATTGAATCTTGCTCAGCATATTCATAAAGGTATGCAGAAGATGTACATGATGAATCTTATTCATAATTTTTCACTGAATTTAGCACTATAGAGATTTTGTACCTCATGAATGTATAAAATTCTGAGATTTTAGGAGTGATTTGTTAGTAGTCTATTAGACTAGTAGTGGTGTATTAGTGGTATATAAGACTTCAGGAAGTGGTCTATTAGTGGTTTATTACAGACTTCAAGAGTAATTTATAAGAAGGGTATTAGCATGACTAGTGATTTACTAGTAGTGTATTACACTGTTCTCTGATTGGTCAATAACTTTACCTCATTTGCATGGTAATTTTTTCAACTAATAAACCACCTATTAAGCCAATGGCAAAAAGTGATCTGTTAACGAAAATGACCACTAACAAATCACTAATAGATCATGTTCTCCTAGTTGAGTATTAGCAGTCTATTAGTGGTTTATTAGAGTGGTATGGCAAGCTATTTTTTTCACTTGGGCTGTGTTGGCGTAGTGATATTTAAAAATCAAGACGCAAACCCTTATAAATATATGGTCAAGATGAAGGTCATGTATAGGGGAACGCATAAGTATAGTTCTTGTATGGGCTAATTCGTTCGAAAATGGCGATATGTATCCCAGAACCTGAATTTTGTGATTTTTCAATATTTTTCAATGATTTACCGTATAGTGACACCTAAATAGAAATATAAACACTTCCAGTAATTAATATTCGGTTCAAGTGCGAATTTGGACCAACTTTTGCAAGTTTGACCAGGAAATAACCTTTCATTTGGTATGTTAGTAACATTTTTGGTCGTATTGGTTATATGTAAGAATCATATATACATGTCGAATTATTAGCATAAATGTCACAGTTTGAACGATAAATGGAAATGTAACACTTCCGGGAAATTTTGTCACAAACGCCTTTTGGACTTTTCTCTATATTCTATATATTCCCTATATTTTTAGAATATACCATTGATAGTGCTGACTGTGCTATCATGTTAGAAATTAGATAGATGGTGCTGACTATGCATAGAATTTATTACTAAAAATACATGACATATGTTAGATAGCAATGAATAGAAAGAAGATGAAATTTCAGCGTACAAAATGCTGCGCTGTAATTGACTACCTTATGCATCCAATAATAACAGCAAAAGGCGCAGCTCAATACGATTTGAAAGTCAAAACACGGGGCTCCTAACCACTCCTTGCCCAAGCGTAAAATGGTTAATGGTTGCAAAGTGCGTAATGTTATAATGCATCCTAACTCACGATGTCCAACCCAAACGCTCTTACATGTACATGCACAATGGAGCGTTTCATTACAAAGAAATGCTCCGGAGTAGGAAAAATGGCGGGCAGGAATGATGACATCAATTTAGCGTGTATGATTAAATATCACGCAAATCACGCATTTTGTTGAAATTTTTAAAAATCATTTTTGTGAAATATGCCGACACCGTAAAATACCGAACATGCCGAGCAACGAAAAAAAGCGAACGCATTCTGTTCGGTCTTTGCACGCGATTGCCGTTTATGTCACGCATTTGGTACAAAATATGTGTACGAGTATATATCACGCATTTGTTTCGAAAATATTTACACCGTTTGAATGAATGGCATTTTGTTATCTTACATATGTTATTGCTTTGTCTTTCAGGATCCAGTTCAACATGTACAATCCAGATTCACCTATCATTACATTGGAAATGCTCCATGATGCGAGGCATGTTGTAGAGAACACATCATATTGTAAGCGTACACCCATGTTACATGGCATGCAGAATCTATTGGGATTTGATGAGTCAATTGACCTGTATCTTAAGATGGAAGGCATGCAAACCATGGGTAAGTAGTAAAACATAAAAAACCTTAATTAATAATTAAAAGTCTGTTTTACAAAGTGCTTCATTATCCCACCTAATGAAGTTCGAGAGGGATATAGGAAAGTCATCCAACCGTTCTTCCGTCTTTCATTTGTCTAGGGGATAATTCTCAAATACCCATTGATGGATTTGATTAAAATTTTATAGGCTTATGCCTTATGAGGGTAGGATTTCTGCTCGAGAAGGAATTTTCAATGTGGCCACTGAATTCAAAACGGCCACCATTTTTTCATAAAAAATGTAATCTTTGATAAATCAAATACTAGATGACAGATTTGGTTCAAATTTTATATGTTGATGCCGAGGGACAAACAAATTTGCTGAAGTCGAAGAGATTTTCAAGATGGCCACTGAATTTCAAAATGGTAGCCATTTTTCGTAAAAATTTGTAATCTTTAATAACTCAAATACATTAAATACCAGTGGGGGGATTTGGTTTAACCTTTAGCGTGCTGCCGGCGGACGAGTCCGCCGAGACTAAAATGTCTCTCACAACTGCCGGCGGACCCGTACGCCCGATTTCAAACTTTTAAAAACTTTACTTTTTCGCGCCATTCGTATTGTCCAATTAGATTGCCCGATTTATTCAGTGCCTAACATGACTTCCTGTTGACCTAGAATGGCGATATTTCGAAAAATAATTCTCAATTCAACAATTTAAACAGTGTTTGAGTCGTTTTTAGTGAACGAATCGTACAAAATGGTGGACAAATACGATCACAACGAATATGTGGAGGAAATGAATTGCGATTTCGAGCTCTTTAGGCTCTTGGAAGCCGATAACGGTCATCGAAAATAGAAACTAGAATATTTTCTGAATTGAAAAATTGAACATTCGATCGCTGCAAATTCAGATTTGGATTCTGACCAGACGAAGAGGCGGAGCGGCGGATTCCGGAGGAGTATTCATGGTATATTTATGCCCAGTCGTGTTAATGTACAAATAAATTCATGAGAACATTTTTTTCATGAGCCAGGCCACTGTATCTTCCCTTTGTGAAAATTTTATCCAGATTCATTCAGTAGTTATTGAGATATTAATTATTTAGTCCAGGCATATCATTTTTTGCACTCTTTGAAAAATAAGCCAGTTGCGTGGGATATATTTGCTGAAATAAGGCAGCATGGTAAAGGTTAAAGAACCAACAAAGAAGCTATGCTAGACATTTTCAAGATGGCTACGGAATTTTAAAATGGTCGCCATTTTCATAAAAAAAACATTGCAGATATATTCTTAAATTATTGTCACCTTCATATTTAACATGGCACGGATGGTACTTGGCCCCTCTTGGTTAAAAACAATTCTGCATATTTCTGAACAATATTGAATGTATGTGTTAGTATGTGTGAATTGGCCAAATAGTGGTAGCCAATACACCCAAATGGCCAAAGGCACGCTATACTGCTAAATACAACACCCCACACCTTTTTACCCAAACCATTTTTGAACACCCTGTAGACCCATGCCCAACGTCCAACAGCCAACGCCTTTTTACCCAAACCCAATTATAAATCGATCCTTCATCTGTGTGTTTGGGCTGGTGTCAGTTAATATTGAAAGCTGGACAAATGAATTTCATATGTTCACTGTTTTGTCCTGTAGGGCCTCCGTAAAACACCAAATTCAGAGCGAAACAGAATATCTCGAAAGCCCTCCCGATTGGCCCTGAAGGTGAAAAGGTGCTCTATTTGCGAAAAAATGGCTTTTGTGCAAAAGCCATAAACCAACAGTAACCGCTAGTATCACTGCTCAACGGCGATTCTTACTCCGAACTGTATCATAGATTTCAGAGATGCATGAACCTCTCTCACGCAGTACAAACTCACCAGGGCATATCGAAACCAAAACGCCCCGCAAAACCGTTAATTTGAATTTAAATCTACCCTGTCTTCGGAAAATCAATGATTGTGAGTCTCATACTACACCGTTTTTCTTCAAACTTGTTCCATTAAAACCTTTACAGAAATACCTTTCAGTCGAGAAATTGCCTTTGTATACAAAGTCCCTTGTTTTAGTGGCGTTTCGGTCCCCAGATGTGAGAAGTTGCAAATCCTCAGAGATTTCAACCACAATCCCTGATATCTAGTCAGTTCTTGTTCACTCTTCCCCATATCCTGTGCAAGGGCTCCCATTACAACCCTCCATCGCTGCATCAACATATTTATAACATGAACGCAGCAATTTTGAAAAGTCCTACGCAACTGTTTGAAATTGACCAAAATGCCCCGTTGTCTTCCAAAACGCCCCGCAGAGTCTATGACTACAAACGTATCTAAGGATCCAATGGGGTTTTGGAAGAGAACGAGGCGTTTTGATCAATTTCGAACAGATGCGTAGGACTTTTGGAAATTGGTGCAGTACTGTCAACCCCTAAAGATTTTCTCGCGGGACAGATTTTTTAGACCCAGTGCCCAAAATTCGCGGGATTTTGCGTGACATCTACTAAATTCACGGGATTTCGCGTGATATTTAAGGGATTTGCGTGATTGCGCTAATAGGCCAATTTTTTTTTATCAAATTCGCGGGATTTCGCGGGACCATTCGAGGGACAAACACCCTAATTGCGGGACAGTTAACAGGTGTACCACCAAAAACTTCATAGAGGGACAGATTTTTTAGGCAAAGTGCCCTAAATTCGCATGATTTTGCGGGACATCCACCTAAATCAGGTGAAATTTGCAGGATGTCCTGGGACATTCAAGGGATTTGCGTGATTGGGACTAATGTAAAAGCGTGTAAAAGTACTTAAATCAAACTTTCAGATACTGATTAATCAAATATAATGCACCGTTACATTGTAACTTAAATAAACGTCAACACAATTTCACAAAATACGCATAGGAATATTATTAAACTTTATTGTAATTTATCAAAAGCAAAAACCATGCTTCAGGTGTGAGTATCGTAATCTGACACGAAATTCAAAAATTCGGAACAATACTTTGCACTTCTGGCGTCGTGACCAACGATGAAACGCTTACCCCCATAATGTTATGTATTAAAATGTACATATTCATATACTGTAGGCATGGGCTTTCAATTGAAAGCCCATGATATAGGGGTTCGATTAATTTACATCAAATTATAGGGAATGAGGTTACTTTTCTAGACTCTAGATAGGGTTTGTAGAAAAAACCGGGTACCGGGTAGTAAATCCTCCATGCTGGGTTCAAACTTGGTACCCGGTCGAAAAAACCGGGTACCCAAAAAACGAAATATACGAATATACAACATAATTAGATCATTAGAAAACGTGTAAGATCTGCTTTGAATTTACAAAAATGTATGTAACTTCCTTCAAAATTGAGCTAGAAGCTTCAAATAAAAGCATTTTAAGGCTCTTTTCTTCCTCTATCATCATGGTCATATTTCCATTGGTAATGAAGGGGAAGGCCACACGAGTAGTAAAAAGGCCAACGTTGGAACTATTTGTGACCTACAGTACGGCTTTAATGTAAATTGACTACTCAGAGCATAGATAACGGTAACTCGGCACGCTTAATTGTTCACTGTCAACCACCTGTGCGCGTGTCACGGACAGTTACTACTTGCGCCTCATAGCTGGGACCCGTGTAGCTCGCTTAATTCTTACTCGCGACTCAGCACGACGAGTCGTGCTGAGTCGCAACTACAGTTCTGTAGATGTACAAGCGTTAGTTCTCCGATGCTAAAGTAACATCGCATGACCATGTGTTTACAGTCGTGCAAATTTGAATAGATCGTTTGCCGAAGTAAGCAGTCAAAATAGTGTATACGTGTAGTTGTCCTGTCAGTGGAGTTATTCACATTTAAAGTAGACTATTATGATTCAATTATCCTGAAACTTGTTCCGTTAATACTTACATGCGATAATGTGCAGACTTATACTTGTACAGTACGATTTGCAATGTGTAAACAGTATAGTACAGTCGGCAATGGGCTTAGAATTAACACTGGCGGATTAGGGGGGGGGGGGCCTGGGGGGCCTTGGGTGGGCCCAGAAAAAAAATTGGGCCCATAAAAAATTTTGGGCCAAAAAAGGCCTTAAGCCCCCAAAAAGTCGGCCTTTTTGGTTATTACTGGGCCTTTTAAGGCCTTATTTTTTAAATTCAGGCCAAATTTTGAAGAAAATGGGCCTCAAAATTTCAAAATTTGGGCCCACTTTTGCGTTTTAGGGGCCCAAAAATTTTTTCCGCGCTAGCGGACGTTTTTTTTATCTGACCTGAAATTTGGGCCCCCCCCCTTGTTGGTTCCCAGATCTGCCCCTGATTAATATAGTGAATGGTGGCAGGATCCTAAACTTTTAATAGTTGTTATCTAAAATATACCCTAACACGTTCGAAAAGGTGTCTTTTGGGTTAAGTTCAGGCATGGACCTCTATATCATTTGAGACAATCTGCAATATGTAAATTGCAGCAGATTTTTAATAAATTTTACCCAGATCCGTCAGTTGTACATGTTTATTTAACTAGAAAGGAGGAAATACCCCGGGACTCAAAGATGGACAAGTATCTAAACTGATTTACTATTACTTAAAAGTTGTTCATCTTTCCATATAAGTTCAACTATGAACTCTAGATAATGCCGCTCTTTATCAATGTAGAGAAGTACATGTAGGCTATTACATTTTGCATTTTACTGAAATTTATACTTTTTCCACATGTAAATGTAAATGGAATAGACTAAGCGTATTCGTTGGGCTACCCTTACGAAAACTTCGGACGCTGATTTAATTTTCATGTAGACATTTCTTACAAGTTACAAAATCCACTTGGCAATACAAGACCAAGTCCTCTGTTTCAAATCTTGAGTAAACAGTGTCATGGTTGAAAGTATTCATATTTTCCATAGAATCCAAAATAATTAATATCTGCAGGCCCGTAGCCAGGGGGGGGGGTTGCAGGGTTCGGGCGAACCCCCCCCCCCCCTGGCCAAAAATTCTTTCAAAATCATGCAGTTTTCACCATTTTGAGCGCTTCTC